GTAGATTTAGACTTGGATAAAGTGTGAAGAGAAGAATCAAAAGAATCAGAAGAAATAAAAAAACTATCTACTTTTGTTTTTAACTTTTTTCTTTTTAATAAATAATTTTGTTGATTTACTTTTTCTACTTTTTCTACTTTTTCTACTTTCCTTACTTTATTTACTTTTAATCCTACAGTGTCCATTGAATCAAAAGTGGCTGTTAAAAAATCTGAGTCATAGCCCTTCAGTACTACATTTACTGTTAAGCCTCTACAAAATCCTAGAGTGTGTAGTCAGAGTCTAAGAGTTCTAAGGTAACTTCTAGATTTGTAGAAAAGGCTTCTTACTACAAATCCTACTCATTACTTGTTATTACTCTAATAACCTAACAGATATACTATTGCTTCTGTGAGTAGTCCTTAATTTAGTGTCCTGACTTTCTATAGACAAAGTATACTCCTTACTTTTAGGCTTCTCTAATGTCTATCAGAACAGATTGATTGTAAATTATAGGCAGATTGATCTGAGGGCTCAGAACTGTTAGAGTCAGACATATGTACAGACTTAACACATCTAAGTTACAGCTTAGTTAAAGGAAATGGTGTGTATCTTCTACTCAGTATAAGTGATCAGTTCTAGCATTATTCTAAGAATCTTATTAACTAGTTCTAGGTGAAGAGCTTTTTCAAGTATTCTAATAAGAACATTATTAAACCTAAGTGTGAATCCTACCTTTTAAGCTAAGATATCAAACTCCTGAAAGAAGGTATTGACAGAATGTTTACTCTGTCACAGAGACACAAGCTTGTTCTATACATTATACTTCTTATTCAGATTAATAAAGGAAGTACAGAGCTGCCCTATGAATTCCAAATACAACTCATTATTCTAAAGTCAGATTAGGCTTCTAATCTAATAGTCTTCAATCCAGTTCTAAGCCTAGGTGGTTGTGTTACCTTCCTTCATGAAGGAGAGGACAAATAGGATACAATCAAGATCTGAGGATAGATTAGTCAAAGTAGTAGTCACATATAGTTTAACTTAGTGTTAGAAGTCCTCAAAGTACTACTTACTAAAGTCTAAAGGGTAAGCTATATGTACTTTCTTTCTAGAACAGGTTACAACTTCTAGAACAATTGGAACAGGTTCTAAGGGGGCTAGGAGCACATAGTTAGTAAAGGCCTCTTAGATAGAGGTCTACACATATTAAGCTAGGTCTACTCATAACTACTAATCTGGCAGGACAGTAGGGGTGGCAGTTAGTATAAAAGAGTCTATGTTTACACTACAAAGGAATCAGTACTAAACTAAAAGGGGTAATAAATAGAAGAAGGGTAGCAAAAGTTTAAAAGGGTTTAGAAAGTTTAAAATTTAAAAATGTAAAAGGGTCAGGACAAAGAAAGGAGATTGACACAACAGTGAGTACTGATGCCTGAAATGTAGGAGAGTCATAGGGTAGTAATGAGTAGTCTTAATCTAATGTCAGTAACAGTGTAAAGGGGACCCAAAGGCTTAGCAAGAGGACCCAGGCTACAACTATCTTACACAACAGAAATACAGAATGTAAGCACTAGAACATAGTCAGAACTTGTAAAACAGACAGAGAGAGAGAGTGAGACAAGAGTAGAGTATATAGAGTGAGTCTAAGAGTACAGGACTACCTAGAGTAGACAAGATCAAGACTACTAGACTAGTCTGATCTCATACACCTATATATACTAAACTACACAAGAGTACTCATTACAAAAAAGTTTTAAGTATTATACTTGCTTGTAATCTTGTATATTTTGTATATTTTATAAAATTTGTCCAATTACTTATAATCTTCCTAGGGGGTTAAGTAATGACAGTACAATGTTAGATAAGTAAGTAAGAATACTTTTAAAACTTGGCAATTTCCATTATAATTTTATAAATTGTCAAGTTATAGAAGTGATTATAACACTTTCTAAGATTACAAGACTAAGACATACTTATTTATTTGAGAAAGTATAATATCTGCTTATAATGCTTATAAGTCATTACAAGCATTTGAATGGTTTGCTTTTGCTTAGTATACAATTTTGTATCAAATAATTAATCAAATATAATTATATTTAAATTATAGAATACAAAAATAGTAATTAATACATTATTTCTACAATCCCAACCCCTGCACCACTAGCTGCCTCTGCCT